ACTATTGCGAGTGTTTTGAGAACTTTATGTTTTATAGATAGAAATTTGACAACGTTCGAAAGTTCATACGACGTTGTTTTGCTGGCACGTTAATGGAGTAGCGGCCTGGAGAGTGATTTAATCAAATAAGTATTACGGCAGAAATGAGCGGCGGCGTAGATTACGAAACGCGATGAGCAGTGCGCATCGCAGCGTGTTCGGAGAGATGAAGATCATTCGGAGTGAGACAATGAGTTTTCCTCGGAAGTGTGACCGATAAACAGACGAACCAGGGCGAAACGGCACAATGTCCGATTGTGAGTTTTATTTTATTAAGACAAAAGCTGGGCCGAGTCGCTAAAACCATGGATGTGCCTACACTACCTCATCCGACGGTTTTTCGTGGTTGTTTTTCTTAGCCGAGCGTTAAAGTCTCTCGGTTATCAACGTAGAAATTGCGGAAATAGGAACGCCGATGCTGAATGCAGTTTGGAAGCAGTGGCGTATGCAGGATGAGGTTCGGGGGCGGTGGGCAAACCACCCACCGGGGGGCCATCTCCAGGAAATTTTCTGGATTTAACCCCGTAAAATCTCACTTTTTAACAATTTCTGTCATGAAAAGTGATGAGAGGCTCTCCACCATTTTCGTTCGAGTTTAAGATCGAAATGGGAAATTCTCTTTATAGTCGTCTTATCAATTAATAGGTCTGTTGCACCCAAGAGATATAGCCGCAAATAAATGTACTTTTTATGAGTAAAATCACGTGGAAACTACGTTGGGCATGTCGAAGAAGTCAGAAATCCAAAAACTAAGTCCAATACGTGCTTTACAAACGGCGGGTTGTAACTTTTGCACTAAATAAAACAATAATTTGAATTCTTAGGTTGGCTCAGTTGGCTGCCTTTTTGTGCCCTGAAAGCTCCATAACCTAACCTCAAAAGTACTGACATGACCGTACTCTCCCCATATAGGTACTCTTCTATGATGATAAAACTACATATCGTGAAAAGAGGCGGATCATTCCTTGGGCGCGACAATGCAAGACTGGAAAGGATGGATGGACGATGTCCCTGAGTAGGCACGCCATGCCGGACCACGCTGGACTCCAGAGTACGACTTACTGTCCAAGTCTGACTGCGTCCACCGCCCGCCGCACAGTGGATTGAGCTAATACCAGAGGTCGGACATGAATTGTTCGGCTAAAATTTCAAACTTTGATGTTTATATAGTCACAAATTCAATTTCAAGGGGTGATTTCGAAATCAAATATCATAAAAAACCCAATAGAGCCACATTTTTGTCTCATATCCTCGAAAATTTAAGCTTCCAAAGTTTCCAAATTTCGTACAACTTTTCCTATTGACCGGATCCACTGTGCGGCGTTACGGCCGTTGCTTCGTCGCGCCCGATCGCGCCCGGCTCCGACTCCGGTCCGTCCATCGATGTCGTTGGTCCACCGTCCATCGTCCATCGTTTTCGTTTGATTTTTCCACGGGTCACGGATCGATACTCGCCCGATCGGGACGCCGCGCCGCGACGCCGACGCGACGCCGTGGCCTCGAGTCGCCCGTCGAGCGCCGCGATGCCCCATCGGGATTCCAGGATTCTCAGACGCTTCCAGACTTCAGAGCTGGACGCAGTCGTCGAGGGAATACTCAGTCCAATGCACAGTTTTTTTCCTCCTCCATTTCGTGACGTCATACAACTAGCTACGGCACATGAGATTTTAAATTTATACTGGAAAAAAAAAAAAAAAAAAAAAAAAAAAAAACATTGGATTTAGAGTCCAGACTCTTAAGAACATCGACAAGAAAAAATACTCTTGATTCAATCAGATTTAAGCTTCAATCAAGAACCAAGCCTCTTATAATTTGAACGAATTTCCTTTTGATTTAAGCTTAAATCTGATCGAATCAAGAGTCCTTTTTCTTGTCAATGTTTTCAAGAGTCTGGACTCTAGATCCAATGTTTTTTCTTTCTTTTTTTTTTTTTCTAGTGAAGATACGGTTCAAAGAACCGAGAAAGCGGTTGCATGAACCGCACAATCCGGTCGAAATTGAACGTCGTACATTCCGTTCATATGACCGAACTTTTTTCCTCTATCCTCCGTATACGTAGTATAGAGCGATCCTATTGGTTGTAATGGGTGATTCTAATAAGACTACACTGAAAAATGTATGATAACGTCTTTTATGAATCTACGTGATTTTTTACACAGTGATACTATTTAGTGAAAAGAACCTGAATTATAGCAGTGTTAACCAGAACTTCAGTGATACCTATCGTAATATAGTAAATACTACTAGCAATCGCAAAAAAGGGTGCTGGTGTGATTTTACTCAATAAGCATAGTTCTCTGGCAGAATTTAACCCTATGCGGTTGTAGCGCCTGAAATAACGTCAACTTTTGCGCACATTCTTACAGGTTCGTTTTTTAAGACGAATTTCACTGTTCAACGGAATCAATGATTTCATCTGGACGAATTTTTGAGGAAACTCGAATTCGAGACTTTGAGCGTTATGGTTCTCTGCCATACCTATAACACGGCTGGTTATCAGCTCTCAATATGCATTTGAGGCTGATTTTGGAAAAATTCGTCCACATAGGTTTATTTCAACTTCCGTCAGGGTTGCTCTTAAAACAAGTATCAAAGAAGACCTCAGTCAAACTCCCTATCATTACATATCTCCAGAAAATCCAGTCTTGAAAAAAGTTAAAAAAAAAAAAAAAAAAAACTAGAATCCAAGCGTGCACTTTAATTATCACCAAGCATTCGTTTATTAGTTTTTACAGCGGGCCGCGGTATTTCCAGTCAAAATGGAAGCGGAGGATAAACACCTCATCTAGACTCCTAATTGGGCATCTTGGAAGGGAAACTGCAATTAACCAGCCGAGCACCCTTGAATCGACGCCTTGCAATGCTCTCGAATCGATACAATCGATTGTATACTTTACAACGCGGCTGATTTTGTATCGAGCTTCGATACTTCACTATAAGGGAGCGTTGAAACATATCGATCCTGGAAATCATAAAGATCTCGAATCGATATATTCCTCAGCACCTTGCGGCGAGACTCATTTCGTATCGAAGTTCGATGCTTCTCCGTAGAAGAGCGTTAGAATATATCGATACATCGACGGAGATAGCAAGGCTGCGGTCGGGCGGACTTGAACGTGAAAGGAGTGAGGATGAGGCATCTACTAAATGACGCATGTAATAAGGAGATCTTCTGCGGAATGTTTGTTTACACGGCTACCGCGGCGAGTGATAAATCATAACTCTGCAGCACGCTACGCTATTTTCTAAGGCGCTGGGTCCTTGACATGGTCCGAGTGCGAGTCGGGAGACGCGCATCTCAAGATAATGTAGCGGATGCTTAGAACTCCTTCAAATAGGCGGGTAGGCAATTTCACGATGGACGGGTAGTTTTAGATGCAGTGCGTGTAATTGAAGGAGATTCATGCGTGCACTGAAACGCATTCTGCCGTGCTAAGGAAGAACGCCCTATTCACATTCGAGAGTTGCCAAATAGCCCTTAATAAAACATGTATTTTTAAATTTATCCATGGATATTTTTTCTCAAAATTTTAGATATTTTAGATTAAATTGCGTACAAAATTATCTGAAATTTTTGGAAAATAATTTTCCAAGTTTTCCCAGTAAATTCGGTTTTTATCAGAGGAAACTTGGCAACGTCTGAAGGCTCAAACGGCGTTCTTGCTTAGCACGGCAGCATTGCTAAATTCTCGTTCGATTTTCTTGTGCACTAACAATAAGTCACAAACGGTTGTCATGCTCAAGCAGGTAGAATATTGATCGGGGGAGGGGGGGGGGAGTTGAATTCGGAATCTGAGTGAAGTCATCGGAATCTCCATCTCCGCCTTTTAGTGCGCTTGCTTTACACACGCCTGAAAAATACTATCCGTCCCCGGTGAGGAAAATTTGAAATTATTTTTCAAAAACTCACAACAAAAAAGGCGGAAAGTTTATTTTGAAAGGTTTTAATAATTTTGAGGATTTAGGTCATACTATGCATAAAATCACACTCGTCTAATGAGAGATAAAATAAATTAAAGAAAAATCATCACATTTACCTTACAATTTTCGGACGCAACCGTCATTAAATTGCGTCATTTTCATCATTCCGGAACATTTTCTTAAAAACATTGGAACTGAATGATATCAGAATGTTGACTACATCCATTTTCGCTTCACTTTGATCATGTACAAAGCTCTAATCAGTGCAAACGAGCAAGTCAAATTGGAATTGGACAGTGTTAAACAGAGAGGAACCAAGCCATATCAGCTATTGCCAACTTTAATTGGGCACTTTAATTTTTTACATGAAAACGGTTATGCGGATTTGTGTGCAAAAAGTAGATTTTCTTAATGGTACGAAGCAAATTCCTTAAAATTTTCAAAGGAATCCGCTCAAACGTTCTCTCGTAAAAAAATGAATTTGCCCAGTTAAATTTGACAATAGCTAATGTTGTCCGGTCCCTTTCTGTTAAACAAGGTCCAAATAGGAACTATAATTTCTGGCTCATCTGTAAAAAAACATTGTGTGCATATGGAAACTGTATACTGCCGTGCTAAGGAAAAACGCCATATGAACCTTCAGGCGTTGCCAAATTTCCTTTGATAAAACATTAATTTCCTGGTAAATATATGAATATTTTTCTTCCAATCTTTAAGATAATTTTGTTCGCAATTTCACCTTAAGTCCTTGAAAATTTCAAGGTAAAATACTCAAAGCTTTCCTAAAAAATAAACATTTTATCGAAGGAAATTTGGCAACTCTCGAATGTTCATACGGCGTTCTTCCTTAGCACGGCAGTATAGTACATATCGACGGTGAAAGTCGGCAATCACATAACTCGTCACATGACTCGTGTCGGAAAATCTCCGCCTCTACGTCATTTTTTTAAAGGAGAGCAAATTGACATTATTTCTTGAAGTTTTTGAAGAATTTTCTTCGCATTGAGAAGAATAATTATGACCGTTTTAAAGAATTGCCGTTGAGTAGTTTTCCATTTAAAAAATAAAGTATGACAGGAAGTCTGCGACGTCGCAAACCGAATTATGTGATTGCCGACTTGCACCGTCGATATGCCCCCGCTATTGTAGTTCCAAATTTCATTATTCAGTCGAAATGGAGCGCAAAGAAGATACTACCTCTGCGGAATTGTCATATTCAAGCAGAGTTCATGATCCCGAATGTCACCCCAACCACCGTTGCCTATCGATGAGGGCCTCCACTTCTTTGTCTTTTTGATAGTTAAGTGCTTTGGATAGAAATTCTTCGACGCCAACCGAAGGAATTCCTCTACTTTCGATACGGCCTTGGTACTCGTGCAATCGCTCGTATGGTGGACTCCGCTAAAAATGAACCAATACATTAATGATTTTACTGTGGGATCAAAGACTAATATTAAACGGAGTTTACACCGCTTTTCCACCTTGGTAAATTTTAAATTGTACAAACTGGATAAAAAAATTTGATCACGAGGATTGTACCTCTGTTCAAATGGAACACGTATAAGACATCGAAGACTAATAATAAACGGAGTTTACACCCCTTTCCCTTATTGGTAAATTCTAAATTTTACAGACTGGATAAAAAAATTGATTACAAGGATTGTACCTCTGTTCAGATGGAACACGTATAAGACATCAAAGACTGATATAAAGGGGGTTTTACGCTGCTTTCGCGTACTTATTGATAAATTCTAAATTGTACAGAGTGGGAATAAAAATCAGTCGCAAGGATTGCACCTCCGATCAAATGAAACACTGAAGTTTTCGGTCCAAGATACCAAAGTTTCTAGTGCTAGGAACCAAAATTCAGTTCAGATATTTGAACTTTCTTGTTAAGACTATGCGTGTCTTACAAAATGTAGCTAACACAAACTTCACTATTCTGAATTGAAGTTCGGTTCGCATAATTAAAAACTGCAATTACCTGAACTGAAAACCTTAGTGGTCCACGCATGAAATGTTTTTCTCCATGCAGATGATATTTCCTGAAATTCCTGAAACCTGCACTATTCTGAAGTAAACTAATCTACATCTTGTTACATCAAGTTACTACAAGTTACATCTTGTGAAAACCATAAAAAATGTACTTACCATTCTCCGATATGAAATGCTCTAGGCGAAATCAAGACAAGTGACACAAGACTGCGCCGCAGACAGTTGTTAAGAACATGCTGAAGACTAAAGTCCCAGTTGTAGTCATCAAATTCACAGAAAGATTTTGAGCAGTTGTAAATCTTGCGCCATACAGAAGAGTTGAACGCCATTCCCATGTTACTCAAATGTGAAGTCTGCTCTACCTTTTAAAAAAGAAAAAAGAAGGAAAAAAACATATTTTCAATTAATGCAGCCCGTTACATTGGTTGTTTTCAGGGCCGGATTTACCTACTTGCCGCCCATGGGCCGCCTGTATTTTGCCGCCCCCTTCTCATTCGCTTTGAAACATCAATAAAAACCATCAAGTGAACGTGCCGGAGGGAGGGGGGTGCATAAGACGCATTTACCTGCTCGTGTTGGATACATTTCAAAAGTTGCAAAATTTCACGGAGCTGGACGGGGAAGTCAAGTTCCGTAAACCTATCTCTGTGTGGACAAGGTCCTCCATTTATAGGAAACGAACCAAAAAATTATGAAAGAATAAACATAAATGTGGTTTAATAATTTTAACTTTCGCCGCTGCGCCTCGCTGATCGCACTGTGTTTGGCGCAATGCGTGAAGTATTCCTGCAGTCTTGTAGGCGCTATGCGTTTCACGCCAACCGCTCCTGACCGCACTGTGTTTAGCGCGATGTGTGAAGTATTCATGCAGTCTTGTAGGCGCTAATATGTGTTACATGCCGACCGCCGCGCCGAGGGCTTGTTCTTTTCATCTCAAGTCCTCGTCATCATTCCTCTCTGCGCTGAGGTCCAGGACAAATTGCGTGTTTAGTTCTTCTCTTAACTCGACTAATTAAAGATACTGTCTCTTATATCACCGAAAAACGACAAAATTAAAAATTTCTATACTCTCAGGAAAAAGAGATTTTGTTTCCTTTTCTTATTGATAATTTTTTTTCTGAATCCGATTTTTTTATACCTACATTTAAAAAAATTGGAAAATTTGCCGCCATGAGTCGCAGCCCATGTGGCCACCCCCTTAATCCGGCCCTGGTTGTTTTGTTGTTTTTTTTTTTTTTTTTTTCATTTTACCTGCTTGAACTATATGAACTGGTATGCAGTAAAGAAATACTATATTTCGCTCGGTCTGAAAACAACATAAATGCCATTACCCAAGCAGCAGTGATTGCAAGAAAATGCGATTTGATCGGAGGGTGTGTGATGATTTCATCTACGTCGATTTATTGTAATACTGTCGGGCAGAAAATTGCAAGAGGTTGCGATTTCATCGCATAAAACGACTTTAAATTTTGAACCAAATCTTCTGCTATCGAATACGAAAAATCATGGAGACTTTAAGTTTTATGTTGACCAGTCTCTCGAAAGAGAAATAAAATTTCTACGGAAGTCTGCAACGTCGCAAATGGAGAAACGTCGTCTCTCATTTTGCCCAAAAATATGTATGCATAAAATTGAAGGCATTATGACTGGCCTCTCTCAACTTATGCTTCGTCTGTAACGATAAACAATGGGACGCGCTTGCCACGGCGCCTTGATATGACTATACAACCTCGACGGATGTCCGTATTGCGGTTAAAAAATTGAAGGCGTTTTGAGTTCTTACGCAGAATACCTTTGGCTGATTCGATCGACAAACGCGTTGGTCGGCGGTGACGGGGACTTGATGCAACTATTTAAGCTTGTTGGATGTCCGTATCGGTCCGACTGAAGTGCGAAACCACGTATCTCCATTGCGTTGTTTCAAAATGTCCGTTCTTAATTCATCTCTTCCATGAGAAACAATCCTTTACAATAAACGCAGGATGATATCGTCGGCGATTCATTGCATTATCATCGAACAAAAAGTCCTGATAAATTGAGGTATAATTTCAATTGGATCGAATATATATATATACAGAATATTTATAGAGAATATTTATAGAGAATATTTATAGAGATTGCGACAGGATCGAGGATAATCGCTCAGATTTTGATGATCCTATAGCGAATTTATCGGCAAAAATTGTGTAAAAATCTTAGTTTAATTTTAAAATATTGCAATTTTTCCGTTGAAAAATGTTCCTTGAGAAGACTGAGAGAGAAACAGTAGTTCCCTATTGCAAAATGTAGTTCGATTCACTTTGATACCATAATCCTTGTCTAACAGACTCATGGCAGCATCATTCAGTCGGAGGAGAACCATAAATCGAACTCTAAATCTTTCAGTAAGGAAAGCGAAATTAATACAGTAGTACCTCTTCCGAAATTTCGTAGCTTTTGTATGCCTTTGGAGGGGGTCCTAAAGAATAAATACTGCACTGAGGGCATTCAGCTCCAGCAGTTTTCTCCATAATGCCCAAGACATGAATAAAATCCTCAGCTACATAATGATCCTCTTCCAAAAATAATACCAAACCTGAATGAACAAAAAATGAAAGGGTAAGCAATCTCTCATTGTGAGAGAACATCCTAATATTATTTTACATTTTTTGAAAGATAAGTCAATACGAATTTCGGTCCAATTATTATCATTGAATTCTTTCGGTATATATACGCAAATTTTTTGACTGTAAAATACTCATAAAAAAGTCCATTATTTGAAGGTCATATCAAGGCTTATCGAAATTTAATTTTGTGTGCTATCTGATTTTTTAGATTTTCAAACAACCGCGCAAGAAATTCGCACCTCTCCGGCTGCGTATCAGAAATTGCAGTTCCTAATTGCAATTGTTTATTACCAGTGTGATGGCGTGTGATCTCCAATTGGTTGAACACCCGATTCGCCTTCCACCACCAATGGTGTTTGATCTGCGTGATTTTGGCCTCCCTGTAGTGACCGTACAGATCTGGGTGTAGAGCATTGGTACATCCATTAGCTATTGCCCTCAAAACAAAAATGAATTACCGTGAAACAAAATGTGCAAACATTTTATTATGCGACAGTAACGCAGAAAGACAAGCACAAATATTAAGCTGATTATGATGAGAAGCCGATTATTGAAATTGATAGACAAAGCTACAGACAAAGAAGACAAAAGGGATATGGAGGGATCCTATTGGTGGAAGCAGATGGTTACAATAGACAAAGACAGTAGGTAATAGACTAACTAACGGCGACCCACGAGAAATTTGATAGTTAGTCCATCATCTTCTCCTTTAGTCTATAAGGACCACACATTTCAACCAATAGGATTGCTCCATACTCCCTCTGTCCTTCTTGTCTATCAGTCCGCAGGAGCCAATAAAATTTTTTAATTATCATTTTTCCCCTCCTACCTTACAATGAAACGGGTCATCTTTAAGAGGGCTTTGGTGCCAAATAATGGGAAAATGAGTTTTGGACGATACGTAAAGGTAAATGCAAAGGTTTATTTTATAAACTTGCATGAAAATAATGACACCTAACTTTTGGCTTGAGCCACAAAAATCATCAGCGATTGCGATTAACTAGAGAATAAAATTCTGGTATAAACGGAACAAATTTTGCAATGAGGAACTTCTATTTCCGGCTCATTATAGAAACAACATATCGACGGCGTAAGTCCGCAATCTCATATCTCGTTTGCGGTGTCTGAAAATCTCCGCCTCTATGTTATTTTTTTAAAGGAGAACAAATTGACATCATCCCTTGAAGTTTATGCAGAATTGTCTTCGCTCAGAGAAGGAAAATCACGGCAGTTTTAAAGAACTGCCGTCGAGTAGTTTTCCGTTGAAAAAATAAATTATGACAGGAAGCACGTCGCAAACCGAGTTATGTGATTGCCGACTTACACCGTCGACATATGCCATTGGTTTCCCCATGCAGAATTAAGTATTTACGGGAGAGCCAGAGACATAGTGGCTCTTTATTGCAAAATTTAATCTAGATGTAAGTCGTGTCGTATAGGTGATATCACGTATTTAGGGTATCATGTAAGTTTCGGTTCGTTAAATAGAACCTCTCCCTCATTTCTGAACTCGGTCTTCAATTCGCCTTATTTTGAAAATTCGGTCTCGTAAACCGCAGTTCGATTTGAAGAACAGAATGGCACATGCAGCCGATGTGGAACGTCGTGCGCACGGTGCAAACAATTTAATTGTTTTATAGACCTGAAGTCCCTCTTAAAATACGCGATAAAAGGGCTTAGGAAGTTCCATTCGAGTCTGAACTTGATACGTCATCATACTAAAGGATGCTCTCAGTTATTTCCAGGCCAAGGTTTTTACTCCTCCCATATATTTATTCAAAGACAGGAAATCTACACCAGCGGGCTGATTATTGGAATTGATGGACAAATGGATAGACCAATGAAACAAAGGAAAAATTAAGGGATCGTATTGGTTGGAACAGGTGATTCTGATAGACTAAGGGAAAAATGATGGACCAGCTATAGGGTCGCTCGTCGGTTGCCGTTACCTATGTAGTCTATTACTCACCTGCAATATCCATTGCAACCACCCGCTTCAACCGATAGGATTCTTCACTTGACCTTTGTCTATAGCTGTTTGTATAAAATTCATTAATCAGGCTAATGATCTGGATCGAGCTCAGAAAAAATCTCGAGTTTTTTTTTTTTTTTTTTTTTTTTTTTTTTTTTTTTTTTAATATTCTGCTTGCGAGAATTTTTTTTCCATCTCAAACAGGGCCGGATTGGTCGTGCTGTCGGGGTGTTGTAGCACCCCGGGCCTGTAACCCAACGGACCCACTGGATGATGTTTTTTTTCTTTTGGGTTTTTTTTTGGGGGGGGGGGTTATTTTTTATTTTTGTTTTTTTGTTTTTGTTTTTTTTGTTTTTTTGTTTCATTTGTACGCAGTTTGTACGCATACTTCTATGTTTAGTTTGTTAGCTTAGCGAGTAACCCGACCAGATCCCCTAGGGGCACTTGGAGTTTAAAAGATAAACTTTGAAAAGACTGGAATTTTGGGCGTCATGGGGCCCTTAAGTAAATTTTAGGGTTTTTGACCTCCAGTGACTGGTGGGATATGAAAGCCCAATACTGAAATTTTGCTGGAGAAAAGTCGCTCGAGAGGGACTGCCTTAGAGAGGGAGGAGCGCTAATCTGGCCCTGATCACAAGAAAGGTTTTTCTTTCGATATTTTTTTTTAACATGCAATGAATTTGAACTAGGACCTTTTTTAAAATACTATTAACCAAGAAAACCAACTTTGCCGCAAAAGTCAATATTTTTCAAATTGTCACTATCTTGATCCCTCTTTTCTGAATGCAAAAGTAGCCAAATCAATTCAGGGAAGGAGACCAAGTGATTCGCTCTTAGAATTTCTATTTGCGTAATCAAGCAATTCAGATAGAGGAACTAAATACGCATCAGTGGCGTGGCGTGAATTACGATTTATCGATGGTTCTGTCATTTAAACCTATGGTAAAGAATCGATTATTAAGGTGTTCGCTGTGAACACCCTGTTTATCGATCCTTTTCCACAGGTTTAAATGGCATAACAATCGATACATCGCAATTTACGCCACGCCACTGATACGCATTCTGACGCTCATTGATGGTGAGACTCCCAAACCACGTATCTCGTTTACAGCGTTTCCATATCTCCGCTTCGATCTCATTTCCTTTAAGGAGAAAAAATAAACATCATTCATTGCAGTTTTCACAGAATTTTCTTCAAATGGAGAAGAAATCAAAGAAATTTTAAGTATGGAGTTTTAAGCAGTTTTTTATTTTTGGAATGAAGTATGACAAGAAGTCTACAACGTCGAAAACCGAAATACGTGGTTTGGGAGTTTCACCATCGTTGTGAAATTCTTCGGTGCAACGTTACCAAGGAGCACACCCCTTATGTTCCTTGTTTGTCAACGAAATTTTGATTAACTTCGGTCCATCTCAAAGAGCCGTATGCAAAAACGACATTTTTCGCCCCCCCACTAAAACTTATTCAAACTTCGTCTATCAGTTACTAATACTGGAGCGCTTCTTTCCCCAAATTTTCAGACCCCCAAAAAATTTTGGGGGAGCGCTAGGGGGGGTGGAAGTCAAAACCTGCGACCCTCGATATCTTTCGAACGAAACAAGATATTGAGGCCCGGTTTGGACGAAAAATCGTCTAAAATTGCATACTTTAAGATTCTAAAGGTCAAAATCCCAAAATTAAATTTTTAACTTAACTTATGTGCTTTTTTCAGTTTTTGAGGAAAAACAATTTCTTTTAAACAGATTAAACTGAAATTTCACATTTTTTGATTTGAACCAAAACCAGTTTTTTAAATTGTTCGTCTTTTTCCGCATCCAACGAGTGGTCGTATAAGCTGGGGAACCGAACGGTTCCGGAGTTATGATCGATTGAAGTTTCCGCTCAACGCGCGCCGACCGATTTTTGCGCGCAAAAAAGTCGGATTTGACTGTTATCAAATCAGATTTAATGTTCAAACTGAGCAAAATGCATTATTAGGGACTTTTGAGGGTCGCTGAGTCCAGAAATTACAGATACTTCCAAAAAATTCACGTTTTTAAAATTACAGCTCCGTAGCGCTATTTTAGAGGCCCACTGAGCGCCGACCGGCCGCTCAGTGGTCCTGTACGAAGCTGTGATTTTAAAAACGTGAATTTTTTGGAAGTATCTGTAATTTCTGGACTCAGCAACCCTCAAGAGTCCCTAATAATGCATTTTGCTCAGTTTGAACTTTAAATCTGATTTGATAACAGTCAAATCCGACTTTTTTGCGCGCAAAAATCGGTCGGCGCGCGTTGAGCGGAAACTTCAATCGATCATAACTCCGGAACCGTTCGGTTCCCCAGCTTATACGACCACTCGTTGGATGCGGAAAAAGACGAACAATTTAAAAAACTGGTTTTGGTTCAAATCAAAAAATGTGAAATTTCAGTTTAATCTGTTTAAAAGAAATTGTTTTTCCTCAAAAACTGAAAAAAGCACATAAGTTAAGTTAAAAATTTAATTTTGGGATTTTGACCTTTAGAATCTTAAAGTATGCAATTTTAGACGATTTTTCGTCCAAACCGGGCCTCAATATCTTGTTTCGTTCGGAAGATATCGAGTGTCGCAGGTTTTGACTTCCACCCCCCCTAGCGCCCCCCCAAAATTTTTTGGGAGTCTGAAAATTTGGGGAAAGAAGCGCTCCAGTATTAGTAACTGATAGACGAAGTTTGAATAAGTTTTAGTGGGGGGGCGAAAAATGTCGTTTTTGCATACGGCTCTTTGATTGAAGTACACCCTAAAACTGACTTTTGCGCTCTGTCTAAGTAGCATTTTTCAACGGAAAAATCGCGATTTGTTGCGATTTTGTCAGCGATAAAATTGCTATGATCATCAACATCCGAGCGATGTCCTCGTTTTTGTTGCAATAAAATCGCGATTTTATCGTCCGGCAATTTATCGCGATATTATCGCAACAAAAATTGCGATATATGGCGATTTAATCTCGATTTTATCGACGAAAATCGATCGCGATTTTATTGAACGAAAAATTGCGATGCATAGCGATTTAATCGCCATAAATTGCAATTTTTTATTCGATAATATTGCGATAAATTGCCACCGATATAATCGCGATAATCAACCAATAAAATCGCTATTTATCGCGATCACTGCTACTTGGGTGCTAACATTCTAACTGCATAGTGTGTCAGTTGCATAAAATATGATTGGTACTCACTGTTCTTTATTGATATTTCGAGGACAGTCTCCAGGAGATTCTCCTGGGAACTCATTCATGTGTGTCTGTATAGAGTGCGGATAAAATATCTGCATGAATTTGCAAAAGCGAATCGTTTGAACGAGCTCATTAAGTTCTGCGTCATAATAGTCATGGCTGAAGATAAGTAGGGCACTTTCGATATCTTTGGCTTTAGCAAGACTTGTGATCAAGTGACGCAGATACTGTATTCTATTATGTACCTGAAATCATTTTGAAAAGTTTTTGATAGGTCGTAATTAGACCACATTACGCAGAAAGGAATCAAGCCACATCAGCTGTTGCCAAAAAGTGGGCAATTTAACTTTTTACATGAAAACGGTTATGCGGATTCTTGTAGCGAATTTCGTAGTGAATTTGCTGCATAGTACGAAGCAAATTCCCTAAAATTTCCAAAAGAATTAGCGCAAAAGTTCTCTTATAAAAAAATTTCCCAGTTCAATTTGGCAATATTTGATGTGACTTGGTTCCTCTATACTAAACGCGATCCATTTTTATCGTACAACTCAAAAATGTCAGAGATTCATGTGGATAGTATTTATATTAAATGACTATGCGTGAATGAATTAAATTAGAATGAGCAGCTATGTCCATAGGATTTGCAGGATATGTAAAGTTTATTTTAAACAATTTTCCAGAAAAACTAATTCCTGTAGAGTAATTTTGTACCCCCTTCAAAAAAGCAGTCCGAAAAACTTTCACTGAAAAAATGGTTTTTCTGTTCTATGTTTCTCTTTCTTTCATGGACATCTCGGGGAAAAACAAAATGTGAGGCCATTTCCGGATTCAACAAATCAAAAATTACCAGAATCTGACCCATCCAAAGACTTGGAAATTCTAGACTCACTTTCATATAAAGCGGCTGGAGTATTTCTTCACAGCATTTCCGCGGAAATTAATGGCTATCCTGGAAATTAATGGCTATCCCGGAAATTAATGGCTATCCCGGAAATTAATGGCTATCCCGGAAAACTGGCAGTAACACCGCGGTCATTTTGGACTCAGCGGATCAATATACCTAAACTAGGAACAATATATCCCAAAAGTGAGACATGTGTAACTCTTTTATCTGTAGCACTGTGTTAACTTTACAGTTGCGGAATTTTATGATCTAACACGGATATCTAATTATCTTGAGCACGAGAATGACCTGAAAGAATTTCGGTGTATTTTCTGCGTGGGTGGAAACCGCGGTGATTTCATGTAAAAACGATCGAGTATTCGTAGAACGTATCAACTGAAGTGCCAATCGTGTGATAATCCTGCCTACCACTCGATATATGAATCATACTTTAAGGAGCCAAGATTGGTAACTAGACGCTATTGTTTGTTATATCAACTTCTTGACTGAAGTAAGCCAAATAAGTGCGCAAACATACGTTCATTATATCAGAGGCTCATTTTCAAATAAAGAGAAAGAAGGGAAAATATATCCGTTGATATATCGAACCTATCGACCTTTTCATTTGAACAGCTCTTATTATTTTTTGGTGTTCCATCTGTAATTAAGGCGATTTGATGAGCGCTATAGGTATTTTATGACAGACCGACGTGTGATATGTCGCATCGATTAGATACTTTTTTTCAGCTGCCCGTCATCTTCCTCGAATAGTGAAATCGCAATTCTGTTGTTAGGAGACTAGAAAATGTACTTACTAATTTTGAGAAACAAATGTAACGTAATGAAGGCATGGTTTCTTTAGAGGAAATATATTCGATGCTGATACCGAAACTGCACTCGAATGCAGTATTTTTCCTCTAAAAAAACAACGCCTTTATTACGTTGAATTTGTTTCTCAAAATTGGTAAGTGAATTTTTTACCATCCTGACAATAGAACTGCAATTTCCAAATTAGAGAATAATGATGAGTAGCTGAAAAAATGGAACCAATCGATGCGATATAGCGCATATCGTTCTGACCTAAAATATGCATGGCGTCCATCGAATCACCTCAACAAATTACCCGTTCAGTATTTTTGCACGCCCAACCAATCAGTCGTAGAGTAGAACGACCTGGCACGAATATAATGGAGATGTTGCCTGTGTGAGGAATTTGCGATTTGATTATTGATTCATATGTAAAAGTTTGCGAGAAACACGATGGGGCCACTGGTTTTCTCTGAAATCAACTCCCAAGCTCAAAAAAAGCTCTCAAGTTGAGACCAAAATGAAGGGGATATCCCACCCTACCCTGAGAGTCCACTTCTACATCAAAACAAACTCTCCATGCAAAGATAGGGAGCAAATACATTAGCAGTGATGCCGTGTTTTCAGTTTTAGAGTCCCCAAATAAAGTGGCAGCCCTGTCAATGTATTTGCTCCCTACCTTTATAGGGAGAGTTTGTCTTGATGTAGAGGTGGACTCTCCGGATAGCGTGGGATACAGGCCCGCCACATCCCATCTCGGGCCCTGGTACCAATTTTCTGGCCCGGGCCCCTAGCACGGGGGGAGGGGGTCCGAGGGGCCTCCCCCGGGAAATTTTTGAAATTTTAAATCTATTTGGACGCATTATGTAGCTCCTATGATGGAGATTTTCCATCAATTTCTGCAGAATAATTACGCCTTTTTGTTTACTTTCAGCACCAAAAACTTTCGAATTGTTGCATTCAAAACATCTATAAATTGTTTTTTGAGGGGGCAGATGATAATTTTCAATTCTATGGGGAGCCGGGCCTCCCTGGACTCCCCTTTCGTACGTCTATGGCAAGGGAGTTAAGCCATTGAAGTCGAGGATGCCCAGAAAGGAGCCTCTTAGCATCCGACAACGGAAGAAAATGAAACACAGTTACTAAAAATATCATTCTACATATACTCAAAATCTTGAAAATCGCTAAAAAAGTAAGAAAAATTTTATAGTGCCCTAGCGTGTTTTTGAAACTTTATTCACCTTTTGCGGAATTTTTAGGGTAATTTTTTCACTTTTCCCTACGAGACAAGGGTTACACATGAATTCGTAGTGGTTTGTCACCTGCGTCACGGGCCCCTCCAGGGCCCGGGCCCCGGTACCAAGGACCCAGTATCCCCCCCCTTGTGGCGGGCCTGGTGGGATATCCCCTCCATTTTGGCCTCAACTTGAGAGCTTTTTTTGAGCTTGGGCGTTAATTTTAGAGAAAACCAGAGGCACCATCGTGTTTCTTGCGAACTTTTGCATGAGAATCAACAGTCAAATCGAAAATTCCTGACACATGCAACATCTCCATTGTGCGGACTGATTGCTGCCACTATGGTCATTCAACAGACCTCAGAATTTAACCTGATTACATTAAATCTTAAATTCTCATCGGTCCTTAATATTGGTTTAATAAATCCATCGAGTCGCAATGATTTATTGATCATGCTTCCTGTGGGTTGCTGTAAAAAAAGTGATCACCTGAATGACTAGGACAAGAGAATCATTGTGAAGCGGTCCAAACACATTTTGATTCTCTACAATTTGCAACTCATTGTATTTTTTAATACTTTCTTGTATATCATAGGAAGTCATAAGAACTTTTGGAATACTGTTCGTCCTGATATCGCTCAGGGTGCCAATCAGGTAATTTTGAAGTTTCTGAAAAAATAAATACGAAACACCATGGAAGAAAACAATATCGAAATTGAGGAGGGAAAAATTAAGATAAAAAATCCTCAGAGCAACCGCTCCGAAAAACGGAAACTAAAGATTTTAGTAACAAGTTACAAAAAAAAAGACTTATTCGATTTAATTTCAAGACGAAATGAGCGCAAGAAAATTTTAAAGCTATATATATTCAGCTTCAAAAGAAAATCTGAGCATTTGCTTTCGATTGCTTTTCGATTCACTCAGCTATGGCTCAGGCAATATACATATTATGGCAAAGCGATGAGCAGAAAAAAAGGGGTTTAATACTACAAAGTTTTGAATTATTGATCAAAAAACATCGAACTACAAGCCAAAATAAATGGTATAATAATAATATAGTATTTAGCCCGATGTTTTTCAATCAATAATTATGTCTTTATAGCTTAGCCAGACAAATTTGACACTAAAATGCGTTGACTTTTAATTGGGGAGGGGGAAGTGTTGACATTTTTTCGTTCATTTTCATAAGGGCTCCTTTCGTTTCCATTACACTTTTGCAACTCTGGCATTTAGAAACAAATCGATTTTAAAGGCCCTAAGTTTTTCTGGTATTTTTCTTTCAAACCTTTGTAAATATGACCAATTCAAATTTGTTTCATATCATAATTTTTTACTTACAGGTGAGATCATGTTGAAAACGCTGGTAGGATATTGAACAGCATCATTGCCGGTGAGGTACGCCTCATCGTCCGACTTCAAAGTAGCGGTGTGTAAGAAGTAGAGATGGAGGAGAAAGAAGAGCACGCAAACAGAGGGCAACAACAAAGGGCGGAAACACGTGGACAAATGACAGCGAGAAAGCCGGTAAATAACTAGAATCCGAATATGTCGACATTTTACTTACAGATTCATGAAAAGAAAAAAAGATAAGAAATTGGACTACATTTTGCAATAGGAACTATAATTTCTAGCTTAGTTTAGAAACAACGTAAATGAAAAATTATGCCAGACGTCTAAAACTTGCTACCGACACTCTTGAAGGTTCGCGGATTCTATAAAAAATCGTTGTATCCCTAAAAATGACGGATGCTCGATATTCGCTGTTTTTACAGATATAGCTAGCCCTGCCAAATATTAACTGTGGTATTTCCCGTGTGATATTGCCCACAAGTAATTTACACGGCAGATTGTACGAGTAATTTTAGTCAAAATACAGAGAGAAAAAGGTGAAGTAAACAGCATATTTACCTCTCATTGTTCAGCTGCATGGGTGTCTGAAGATATCGACAAAAAAGGTTGATGATGCGAAATGCTCGAGTGTTTTTTTAATTCGTAGACTTTACTAAGAGGTACATGCCATCTTGCGAATTAGGTAATCCAAAACTAGCGTGCTAATTGAAGGACTATCTCCTATCGACAGCCACATAATCATGAAAATTGGCCACACATATTGGCCATAGCACATTGCTTCAAACAATGCTTTTTCACTTCATATCATTATTTGTCTCCATCTTGCTCTAATAAATGTAGCACTCCTAATTTCACTCTGAGACTTTTTGACAGCAATGCAGTTAATCAATTTCCTCTTAAAAGTATTAAAAATGAAAACTCTCTTTCGATCCTTTCAAAATATTAAGTATTTTCAATGCGCTGAGAAAAAATTCAAAATCAAGACCTTTTAATCACGCTAGCAGCCCGGCTGCACAAATCATATTATTGCTAAGAATGGTGATATAATATAGTTTGATTTGTAAGGTAAGTATTATCTATCTAATTAGAAGTATTAAATGTTAATAAAACCAAATATCATTGACGCACTTAATTCCTTTTACGTGTATCGCGAGAATGTAAACAAGTACCTGTATTTAGATAAATATCCAATTTTGAAAAATTCTACAGCGTGACAATAGTAAAACTCCATTCGATAAAAGTAACACTGCGAAGTTTGTTGCTCGTCCTCCTACATCTACACGACTGGTAGGAAGAACATTACTGTAGTTAGCGCTGAAGTAGCCATTAGTCATCACTTGATCCATATGCAAACAAAGAGCTCATTTGCCGATATTACTAGTGTAGTTGCACTCGCGACTTGAATGTAAGTATCTTTTTTTCCAGCAGGCTGCTTGAACATCTTAAGACAAGAGGTGTCATGGATATCAATATGCAGTTTTGACCTAATTCTTTCAAGTAAAAATTATCCTAGTATTGGTTGGCTATTTAAAAAAAAAAACAGTAAAAAAAACTTATACATTTTAAAAAGCTAGTTGGTAGAAAAAAACTCTTAAAATACGCAAGTTAAGAGATCCTTCTTGTTCTTATTTAGATAGATCATTCTTCAGACAAAGGAATTTGACTCCATTCCAAGGTTACAAAAATGATTGAATTTTTTTTATTATTATTATTTTTTCTTTTTTTTTTTAGGAGAATGTGCCTTTGCAATTTTCACCTAAATTTTTTCTGATTTTCGCATAAGATCAGGGACAAAAGCAGGAAAATTTTCAGTGAGAAATGCCCAAGATTTTCCTGATAAAACTGCAATTTGCAATAAGGCAACATTGCAATTTAGTTACATTCTATTAAGAGGAAAAATACAAAGAATACCGTCTTGCTATTTTACAGACTTTTAATCAATTGATTCTAGTAACTATAAACGAAAAGTTTACATGAATATTACGTGATACAGTCCCATTACTGGCCATTAGGCCAATCTGCCATTGGCAGATAAGCCCCCTTCGAGTGCCGAAGACGCGCCCTTTTGAGAGATGGCAAAATAAGGCGAAAAAATAAATTATGACCTGGAGGAAATTCGAAAAATTCATAAGTGCACGGGAGAAGAGAAAGTAAGAGTAAGAAACAAACATTTTATGAACAAGAGCAAACGAAGCGAGGAAAAGGACGCTCGTTGACGACGGCGCAGAGACACAACTATTCGTACTTGATGGATGTCCGTGTGGCATCTGCAAAATTGAAGGCGCGATGGCGTGAGGCGTGAACTCGTAATGCTCTGCTCTATGTTGCTGGTCAGATGTCGTTCTTGTTCGGCAGAAAATAAGAAAACAAGACTATATTACGCCTCTCCTATCTTCGGCTCTGTTATTCACGTGACTACGCGAGCATCGCCACAAATAAAACAAATAAAAACAAACACATGATTGGAATAAGGCAAAGAAAAGGAGGCGTGTTGGTGACGGCGCAGAGATACAACTATTCGTACATGATGGATGTCCGTGTAGCATGTGCAAAATTGAAGGCGCGATGGCGTGCGAATTGAACTCCCAATGCTCCGCTTTATGCTGCCGATAAGGTGTCGCTCAGAGAGTTAATAAACGAGACCAAAATACATCTCTCCTATCTTCGGCTGTGTTGTCACTCAATTGTTTTAATGTCGGATTATTTTTTTCTCGATGCACGCATTTGCAGTCCTACATCAAAGGCTACTATTTTTTGGACGTGACCGAATAATTGGAACGTAATTTTGCGAGATTAAACATAACTTTTAATGAAATTCACTGACTGAATAGCCTCGTTCGGCTCTGTTGACGAATCTTATGTTTTTGGCGAGTAAGGTGCAGTCATTTTAATGATATTTTCATTGGCCCTTCACAGATCCTGAAACCGGGTCAAATTGATCCGAGGTGTACTCAAAACACGAGCACCACGGGTTGTAAGGGACCGGCACATACGAGCCTTTGATGTAGGACTGCAAACTGCAAATACGCATATCGTGAAAAAAGGATCTGCCAATAAATTCACAATACAAAAACAAAATTGAGGATTAATGCGTTGAAATAAAAAATAACTAACACTAACGATTCTATTAGTTTTAGTATTTGCCCTATAATAATTGAGTTATAAAATATTCACAATAGTATTTAAAAATATTTAACTTTTAATATTTAATATTTAGTGCACTACAAGTATTTACAAATGGCAGTAATCATATCCTTTCATTTATTACTCAGTCCTTCTACATAAGCATTATTTTTTTCTCGTTTCTCGCTCGTTTTCTAACTCCCGAATCCGAGCGACACCTTGTCCTTATTGGCGCAGCAGAATGAAGCGGATCATTGGCAGTTCAGGCTGCGCGCCATCGCGCCTTCAATTTTGCACGTGCAGCTTGGACATCCATCATGTACGAATAGTTGTATCTCTGCGCCGTCATCAACGCGCCTCCTATCTCTTGCTCTATTTCGGTACTTTGTTTGTTTCCGTTTGTCTTATTTGTAGGGAAGCTTCAAAAGCTTCGTGAGCAACACAGACGGAGCCAGGAGAGACGTTATTTGCTTTGTTTTTTAATATTCCTCCCGAACAGGAGAGATGTCTCACTGGCTACTTAAAGCGGAACATTGGGAGTTCACGCCTCACGCCATCGCGCCTTCAATTTTGCGCACGCAACACGGACATCCATCAAGTACGTATAGTTGTAGCTCTGCGCCGTCATCAACGCGCCTCCTATCTCTTGCTCTATTTCCTTACTTTGTTTGTTTCCGTTTGTCTTATTTGTACTTGTGGTGGTGCTTCAAAGGCTAAGTGAGAGGCACAGCTGTGAATAGTGTCGCGCTTATGAACTTTCGGAAGTTGCCAAATTTCCTTCGATAAAACGTTTATTTATAAGGAAAGTTATGAATGTTTTCCCTCGACATTTTTAGGAACTTAAGGTGAAATTGCGAACAAAATCACCTTAGAAATGGGGAGGTAAATATTCATAGGTTTGCTAGGGAATTCGTGTTTTATCAAAAAAAATTTGGCAACGCCTGGAGGTTCATACGGCGTTCTTCCGTAGGACGGCAGAATAGGAGAAACGGGCTTGGGCCTAGTTTTTAACTTTTTCTCCCGAATCTGAGCGACATCTTTCGGCGCCCTGAGCAAGTCCGAACCTGACGTGTTATTTTAGTTTTATATGCTGCATATTTTGCAATTTAATTCGTGTTTAGCACCAATATGCATGGTTTTTAGACTTGTATTAAATTTCGAAACCAATTTTTGTTTGTTGCTTTTTTCCCATTAATTTCATATACATTTTAATTAAAAAGAACAGGAAAGGCATAATGAAAACAAAATGTCAAACAGTGAATATATGCTTCTAGGGGCTATGAACCCTAGTCTTCCTCAACGCCAAACAGAGATCAGTGGCGTGGCGTGAATAATCGATTATCGATATCTTGCCATTTGAAGCTATGGTAAAGAATCGATTACTAAGGTGTTCGCTGCGAACACCCTGATAATCGATCTTTTTTCATAGGGTTGAGTGGCGTATCAATCGATATATCGCAAAGCACGCCACGCCACTGACAGAGATTTGGGGAGTCTCCCAGGGAATATTCCGAAAAATTGAATCGTCTCCAGGGCATTTTTGAGCTGCTCGAAAAATTGATTTAAATATAATTTCGAAGTCGGGGGACTATGCCATGTCACATGATTCCTTTCCCCCTTATTTTTAATCCCTAATGTCTGTTGGTAGGGACTAAGTAAATTTAAGGGCCTTACAGCGCATGAGTGCAGTTACTGATGCAAAAAAATACGTGTTTGAAAGTTCAAGATAACATGGAGTCTTATGCCGGAAAAAAGTTTAAAATTAGGTACTTTCTGGTGCTGGAAAATTAGATTATGGTGGCCGGTAAGCCCCCCGGTCAACCGGTCATGCCCCGGAGTGCGAATAATTGCGCGCCAGATTTCCGAAATCAACGATGCGAGCATAATGTTCTACAATCATAAACACCAGAAATTTGAGAAAAGTAAAAACCTAAATTTTCCATCTTTTCACGTGATACTAAATCAGATGCCTAATCTGGAATTGAATAGTCGCCTGCTTGATTTTTACATTTGGCTATGCGACCACAATGCTTAAATTCGTAAATGTCAGTAATTTGAGACAGAGGTGCAGCCAAGATTTTCCTACTTTTTCGCGGAATACCACATCACATACACACGCCGGAATCCGAAACATCGTCGTCGTGCGCTCGATTTTCGCTTTTACCCAGGCGAGCATAATGACTCCGTTCATACTGCCGTACTAAGGAAGAACGCCGTATGAACGTTCGAGAGGTGCCAAATTTCTTTTGATAAAATTTTTACTTTAGAGGAAAGTTTTATCAATCTTTTTCCTTGAAATTTTCAGGAATTATAGAACAAAATACGAACAGAGTTCTCTGAAAAATTGGAAGAAAAATATTCATAAGTTTACCAGGAAATTTGTGTTGTATCGAAGAAAACTTGGCGACGCCTGAAGGTTCATGCGGCGTTTTTTCTCAGTACGGCAGCACAAACGTTAGTAATTCGAGGCAAGAGAAAAGCCAAGATTTTCCTTCGTTTCGGCGTGATACCACATCATATACCTAGTTCAGAGATACTATTTGCGAATTTGCGAGCCTGAATTCCTCATTCGACGATGCATTCATACAACTGTCTAATTGGTAAGGCATCGAGCAGAATGCCTGTTTTGCTCACATCTGTCTTGGTCATACGTATCCACTTGTGCAGTTCTACTGACGTATTTTCTTTTTACAATAGATCAAACATATTTCTTCATCTCACATAGTATCAGGATACGTTGAGAGACGCAATTAGAACCCGAGGACAGGATCGTACCTTTTCAAGAGGCTACATTTTAACTCAGGAGGTCTAGATTGATGCTCTTTCAGCGAAAATTTCCGAAAATGACGAGATCGCATAGTCTGCAATAGGTAGATAGTTCTGCGAAATCTATCTGTAAAGCAAACGTGATTCTTCGTCAGTGCAACATGAGAAACTAAGAATAGTTCGTGCAGCCTCAGGAATAAAACATTCAGCACTTTTCAAGCACTTTTGGAAGAAGTTTTGAACCTATTTCAAAATATTTTTTTAAGTTTGCC